CTCCAGGATCAGTGCCGGGCTACAGCTGATTCGCACTTCTGCTAAATTAGCAAGCGGCATGTTTTCTAGCAAAGCTCGAGCAAGTTTGCTGGGCAGGAGCCAAGGAGAGCAGCTACAGCTGCAGAAGCGCGGATCAGCTGTAGAGGCTCGCCTGATCCTGAGCAAGAGGGAAGGAAGGAAGGATGGAAGGGACAAGAGGAAAGAGGGAGGGAGGAGGACAAAGAGGGAGGAGGAAGGAAGGAAGGAAGGAAGGAAGGGACAAGGGGAAGAGAGAGGCGAAGGGAAGGAAGGAAGGAAGGAAGGAAGGAAGGAAGGAAGGAAGGAAGGAAGGAAGGAAGGAAGGAAGGAAGGAAGGAAGGGACAATGGGAGAGGGAGGGAAGGAGGAAGAGACCAAGAGGGAGGGAAGGAAAGGAAGTTCCAGCCAGGAGAGGCTTGCCAGCCCGGCTGCCGAGGAACAGAAGAGTGGAAAGCCAAGGAAAAGGTGGCGGTTTCCTCCCAAAGGGGGCTCCTTTTCTCCACCCCTTCCCTGGGTTTGTGGGGAGTTTCTCATCACCAATGCTGACAGGTGCTCCTTCGAGCCCGCTGTGAGCTTTCTCGACCCCTTTGCTTCCCCCCCCCCCCGCTTTCATGAGGATTGTGGCGCCCTTGGGAAGCCGATCAGGCTTAGGGGAGGAGGAGGGGTCCCTTCCTCCTTCCCTCCCTCTCTCCCTGTCAAGCCCCGGCGGGCTTGACATGAACGGGCAGAGGAGTCGAGGATGGGTGGGGTGGCAAAGGAGACCGGCGGCCATCGCCAGACCTCCCGGCTGACGGGCGCAGGAGTTGGGTGCTGCGGCAGCCTCCCCTTCGCTGACCTGCATGCATGAGAAGAAGTCAATCCGGTTGCTGCACAATGAGTCTCTGGGGAGGGCAGGGGCTTGCTCTGCGCCTGCGCTCTTCATGCATCCCCTGCAGGGTACATTTGGTAAAGTTCGTGCAGACTGCCGCCAAGCAGCATATTTTCCACAAACAAGTGAGGTGGAGCGGAAGGGGGGGAGGGAGAGAAGGCGATTGACAAGCCCTGCCTAAGACCATCGGAAATATGTGTTTTTCGATGGTCTTAGGTGACCCCTATGAAAGGCTCGTGCGACCCCCAAAAGGGTTGCGACCCACAGGTTGAGAACCGCTGCTTTATATCATTCACCTATTGGTGATTGTTCTTTCCAAATTCTGAATAGTTTTACCAATAGTTTGCTGTTGATATGATTTAGGAACCTCATAGTATAAATGTATAGTACAGAGGAAAATTTTCTCAGTCCTGTCTTTTGAAGAATGCATCTAGGTGAGAATTTAGTCATTTTCTCCCAAAGATCCCCTACAAAAATAAGCAAGACAAACAATATTCAGTAGTTTTAAAATATATAATCTTGAATTTGACACAACTGATTTAGATAACCTGGTACCCTCCAATATAGCTTGGCATATTGTCGAGCTGGTGGGAGGCTGGAATATTTGACTGAAGCAGTCTGAGTCTGAAATATTGAAGCTGTATACCTCTATCGGCTTGTGATAAGCAATATGATTGGTTATCCTTGTTTTAAAACATTCAGAACACCAGACCTTGTCCCAGGGTATGGATTGTGATAAATGAAACAGTTATAATGCTGAATCAGATTTGCTAAAATCTCAACTGCTCTCTCCTTACAAAACATCTAATTTTTATTTATGCTATTTCAGACACTCAGGAGGTGGTTAGTAGGAAAACTGCAAGAAATCAAGTGTAGAAAAAATATTGCAGGATCAGCATTGCAAAAACATTTCTACAGCATTGCAGTGGCTTGAAATTACTCCAAATGTTATTTTTTAAAATTTAGAAATCTTCTGAAATTAAGAAATTTCAGGAGATTTCTAAATGGAATTAGAAAGCTTCTGATTTCTAATTCTCATGTTCTGTGTCTACTGTATTTTATCATTCTTTAATTTTACATTTTTGTTCTTCCAAAATCATTCAATTGCGTATTTAATTTCTCTCCTAAAATTTAGCTAAGAGGGCAGCATTTGGGAAAGGGTTTGTTACAGTTTTCCAGTTGGCACTCAGAGGTCATTTGGCTTGTGCCCAAAATAATCAAATGGAACATGCTATTGGGTGAAGGAGCTGAAACAGTCACGTGGAAGAAAGAATGTCTGTCACTATGTATGATAGCAGTAGAAACTGCTATCATAATAGTTGAGGTATTGGAATAGGAATGAGGAAAACAGGTTCTAGTCCCCTCATTTATAGCTCACTGGATGAGTTTGTGCCAGTTCTTTTAGTTCAGCCCACCTCACAAGATTGCTGTTATGGTGTCAAATAGGAGGAGGGGGCATTACGTATATCAACCTGAGTTCCTATAGGAACAGCAGTAAATGAGTAGTAATATCATTCTAATCAGCAATGTTGCAAAAATTAATTTTTGTTTCTGCTAAAAGATAATATTTTATTTTACAGCGTGGAGGCCCAGAATAAGGTGGAGCATTGTGCAGTTTGTAACTGCTGAATAACAAACCATTGTACTTACAATAAAGTCCTTCTTCACTTTCTCTCTCTCTCTGGATATTAAAGGAGGTCAAAGGAAAGGTTTTTTGCCAAAATGCTTTTGTGAGAGACTAAAAGGTAATCGCTTTAGAAAGTGGTTATGTCTCATTCAGAGATAATTCTGTTTCAGGTAACCAGAAGCATCGACTTTAATTGCCTGATGAAATTTATTTTTTCATTCTATTCACTATAGTTTCCTTATCTCTTATAGTTGCTGTTGATACACTTAAGAATTAAAAATAGCTACTAATAAAATGACCATAATAGCCTGAAGACAACCATGTTGTTTTCAAAGTTTGAACAATGCAGGATCCTTCTAGCAAATAATATGTCCTTCCAAAGAACTCTGAGAAATAAACTTAAGTTAGCCATATCAAAATTTGACAAATTTTGTTAGTGAACTCATTGTACAATGTAATCTACAAATATGCAGAATATTCCTTCAGAAAAAGAAATAATCAAGCTCTTTCCTGAGTGCTATACTACCTCAACTTACACAGTTGTTAAATTTGGTTCAGAATAAGCAGGAATTTATTTTCATGTGTCTGTCTTTAAATAATCCTAGTGACTACATTGTAATAAGAAATTAAATATTAGTAATATTTTCTTGTCAATCAAAGCTAATACCAATATTCTCAGATGGACTCAGATGAGTTCTAGAAATTTCCATGAATTGCAGTGTGTAAGATTCTCTTGTGTACATTTACTTTGCTCCATCAAAATGCCTGTTTCTTGTAGGGAGCTCATCACTTGCACATCAAAACATCTCCATGATTGGGTTGTTTGAGTTACTGAATCAAGGAGCTGGAAGAACTTGTGCTGATTGATGTGGGTAACACTTATTTTTACACTACTAATTTATAAATCAAGAATGATATGAAGTATAATTTATAGTATTTAATACTTAGTACATGATTATAATACACATCATATTGAATTATATTGAAGCACATACAAAATTTATTTCTATGGAGCAGCACTGAAACTGCAAATGGATATATTCATAGATCGTGTGATCAGTACTTGATTTCATTTTTAACATGTACCTGCTATAACATGTATGTTTTTATGACAGGAAAGAGGAACTAACAATTAGTAGAGAAATGTTATTTGAAACAACTGTTTTTGATTACACAAACTTGAGAAGAATTTTCATCTGTTCGGTTTTAAGTAGGGAAAGGATTCAAGTTTATAATGCAAATGTGTATGCAAGATTTTACTGAATCAATAGGTAAAGGATTAAGCTATTCATCTTTTATTGTAAAAATACTTTTGTTATGATACTGAATGTACTGTTTGCATTTCTATTATTGTTTGATATATTCTTCATATGTATTTTAAGATTTGTTATATATTAGCATTTGCACAAAACCCAAACAAATTCTAATTGCCAATTATAGATGGGTGTACAACAAATAATACAAATATTGCAAACACCTCTGGAGAATTGGCTAATAAAAAACACAATATGGATCAGCAGTCTTGAATGCACCTCCTTAACAGAATGTACATTTCAGTGCTGCCTGCCTTTTCTGAAACATATGTGCTTTGATTAGCTTTTCCCATTATTTACACTTCTATGGAAAAAGTATTTGCCCTTTTTTAGATTTTCTGAATTTTTGCAAACACTAAACATTTCTGTGGGTCCTAGAGAAATATAACCCATGTAAATAACACTAATATTTGTCATTCATTTCATTTCATAAAGTCTCCCAACATATAATATGCTGCTAATGAAAAAATAAATCACTAATTTCTTTTTAATGTATGGAATTGTTAAAGGAGAACAAAGGACAGTTGTTCTAATCTAAAACTTAACAATGAGGTCCTGCAAGATGCAAATCTGACAAATACTTTCAATAGACAATGAGATTCTCATCACTTAGGTTTTAAAAGTATACAATCTCTGTAAAAATTCTTACAGAAATGCCTGTCAATATAAAAAAAAGTACAAAACATTTCAAAATCTCTTAAGCACAGATATAGCCATACTTTGCAGATGATTCTCTAGACTTCTGGAGGAATGTTCAATAAATGATGAGTCAAAAGTCAAATTTTTCAGGCTATATGGACATTATTGTATCTGAAAGAAATTAAACAGTGCATTTCACAACAAAAACATTCTGTCTCTGAAGCATACAGGTAATGTCACGATTTGGGAGTGACCTAGACTTGCCATCATCTGGTGTTTTATGTGTATCAGAATTTTGCAGGAGACTACTGAGCCATTTGCCCATCAGCTGAAGTGTAAGCAAGTAATGCAGCCAGACAATAATCCCAAACATACAACCAAACTTACCGTATATGCCGGCGTATTAGGCGACCCGGCGTATAAGACGACCCCCGTCTTTATCACCAAGTCGCCTTCCTAGAACGTTGTCTTATATGCCGGAAACTACCAGTATTTTCGGCATATAAGGCGACTCGGCGTATAAGACGACCCCTGTCTTTGGCGCCAAGTTTAGCGCTTCCGGAAGTCTTATACGCCGGCATATACGGTACAAAAAACTGAATGCAAAGCAACTTCTGTTTTTGAAATGGCAAAAGCTGTATGAACGATGAATATTGCCAGGGAGGGAATGTGGATATTCTTAGTGGAATTACAAGACATGCCTAGTGAAAACACCTAGTTCAGGGATGTTAAACTGCCGGCCCATGGGCTGGACACATCACGAAACCACGCCCACCTTATTGCCAGCAATGGGGAAAAAGTTCCACTATGTCGCGAGTTTGACATGCCTGACCTAGTTGCATCTGCTACAGGTACTCAACTTACAAGCACAATTGGAACCAGAAAATTTATCATTAAGCTGCACAGTAATTAAATCAGGCATTATGTGACTGCACCTGATTTTATGACCTTTTATGACCATAGTCATTAAGTGAATCACCACTGCCATTAAATAAATACAACTTTCCCCATTGAGTGCTTCTCAGATACTGGCTAGAAGGATTGCAAACAGATCACATGACCACAGGATGCTGCAAGTGTTGTCAGTGAGTCAGTTGCCAATGACTCAAATCATGAACACCTGACCATTGGGGTTGAAGTAACATTCGTAACTTCAAGGATAAGTTGTAACTTACTTTTTTCAGTGCTATCATAACTTTGAATCGTTGTTAAATGAATGAAGACAAGTCGAGGGCTACCTATATTGCTAGTGTTCAATAATCAGCCCCACAACTGGAAAAGAGCTGTCTGAACATTATGCTATTAAATCTCAAAAAAAATCACCATTAGGTCCATTTACAATACTGTTTTATTCAAGGTTTGGCCAGTCAAACTGCAGCAAATTGGAGGTGAAATTTAAGGAAGAGAAAGCAAATCAACTTTGAAATATATTTCATCAAAACAATTTACTGCCTACAAACTCTACTCATAGACGAAGATTTCAGATTGTAATTGAAGAATGATTTGAATCTGGCAAGATTTTAATACACCACAACTCTATGTGTAAGCTTCAGCTGGAAGTTACCTTTCCTCTGAATAAAAAACACCGATATAACCGTCAAAAGTATTGGCAGGGAATTTAGAGTCTCCCCAACAGATACTATTTGAATAGCAGACATGACAGGGATAAATTGGTCATAGTTATCTTCTCCGACATAATGTGATTGTGTTTTAATTATGATTCTAGAGCTATGTATACATACCAATTAGCAAATAGATTTAATCGTCAGTGGGATATTTCCTCAATTCTATAGTTGGCCACTTAACCAAACTGTAATTGTTGCATGCTTCAGGTCACCTTACTGGCATAAGCAGAACAGTTTTAAGAGATTTATAAAGTGCTGCTTCTCTTTCCACCCCACCTCAAAATGTTCAGTGTACCATGACCACTTACAAGGGTAACGCAATGGTTAAAACGTATTACAAACCGGGCGCAAAGCATTTAAGGACAAAACGTGGCAGATTACGTTATTTAAAAACTGAAAATTGCTGTATCGCGTTTTCACTCATAGAAAGTATGCACCTCCTTCCAATGCCAAGTTTTGGAAGGGAACACTGCCGCCGCTGCTATTCAGTCAAGCTAAGCGCGTTATCCAATTTTCGCACCCGTTCCCTTGACTGCCGAGTCCCAGCAATGGCTGTTGTGCATTCTTCCTCTTCGCGTTGGACGCCGTTACCCGGCCTGCAGAAGCGTCTTTGGTCAACGTGCGGCGCATGCGCAAGCATAGAGTGCTGCACCGGAAGCCGGAAGCGGCGGAGAAGAATTGCAGTTTGAGGTTTTGGAGTTTTAAAGATCGTTTTTAGCTACGGTGCGTTTTAAATCGCTTTTCCAGTCTTCCCTGGCCCCGGGTCGCCATGGATGCTCGAGCGCGAGCCAAACGCTACGAAAAATTGGACTTTCTGGGTGAGGGGCAGGTAAGTAATAGCGGCCTCATCTGCCTTTTAATGTGCTTTTATCTGTAATTCTGGTCTGTAACTATAATAATTATTATTTTTATATAGAGGGGAATAGCCCGAAAATATTCTTTTTTTCTTGAGGTTATTCTGATCTACATCTTGCCTATTTTTAGAAGGGAATCTAGGAAGATCTTCTTTCTGTGTTCCCAACAGCCTTGCGAGGTAGAGTGGCTAAGTGAAAGCGTGGCTGTCTGAATTAGGAGTACATTATATTTGGCGGAAAACTTAACTCGGTGAACGGTATGCGTCATGCCAACATACCGTAGTTGCTGCCTCACTTCGCTTTTGTGCTTTGATTATTTTTAATATAAAGAAGCAAAACCAACACGCGAAAAAAATGATTTTTGCCTTTGTCATCTCGTCCTCAGGATATTTGTGCAATTTTTTTTTTAATGCCATAGGGCCTGCAAAAGAGGCATCTTATCTCCCCTAATTAGACACTTTTTTCTCTCAGCATTTTCTTTTATTCTAGGCCACATTTTTTTCAAGGAAAGAAATACATGGCATTTCTGGCTTCAAAGTTTAAGTAATCTTACTCATCCCTAATTTGGAATCAAATTGCATTAATCTCTGATTTTTAATTGTGAGAAAACATGCTTTGGATGGATATTGGTGTAACATAGTAAGTTGTAACTGTTTTGGACGCTACCAGAGAAAACTGAGTTATCTCAGTCAATAAGCATGTAACGCAAATGCAGCTTCTAAGTTTGCTTTCTTCAGAAGTACATTTGAAAGCCTGTAATTTCCCTTAGATACTGATATTGACTAGTTTAAAGAATAGAAATGTATTAGATTTTATTAAAAGACTTATTTTAAAAATTATTTATTTTTATTGCCTATGTTATATTTTTATCAATTATGTCATGGAACAATAGGAAGGCTAAACATTAAAACTATGCAAAGCATTTGAAAACAATATTTCACAAAGTACAATGATGCTAAAAAAGCTCCATCTCTCAAAACCTTAGCCTTATCGTCTGCATGCATATTTATGTACCATTGCTTCTTTGCAACTGCCAGTAAAAGTGTTGCTGGTGCATAAACCACATAAGCTGACATCTCAAGATTTCTGAAGAACACCTTGCTTTCATAGTCTAGGATGAATGTTTTGCTTATATGCTGCATTTTATTGAATGTTTTGCATAATCTTACTACATATTTCCTAGACATGGAGCGAAGAACAGTTCTTCAAGAGCCATGATGGTGCAGTGGTTAGAATGCAGTATTGCAGGCTAACTCTACCCATTGTCAGGAGTTCAGTCCTGACCAGCTCAAGGTTGATTCAGCTTTCCATCCTTCCTAGGTTGGCAAATGAAGACCCAGATTGTTGGAGGCAATATTTGACATTGTAAACCACTCAAGAGTATTGTAGAGCAGTATATAAGTCTTAATTGCTACTGCTATTGTTTCTCAGAAATTACTGAACTACAATTTATACTTCCAAAGTATAAATAACGTATACTTATTTATACTTTAAAATTGTATTTTCAGGATCTGAGGAACAGGTTTCCTCTCTTTGTGTTCCAAGTAAATAAAACTGGGTAATGATGTTGGTTTAACTTTGGAAAATTGAAATTTTAACATTCAGGGTATTTTCTCTCTTTTTAGTTTGCTACTGTTTATAAAGCAAGAGACAAGAACACAAATCAAATTGTTGCTATTAAAAAAGTAAGTCTTATTTTGGCTGTATTTTATATCTCCTCAGATCATCCTTTGTTCTAACCATAATTTAAAATGCAGCAATGTTTTTAGATTTAAACTATCATTTAGTTTATATATTCTGAAGTTGTTTTTCAATACTCCTCCTGATTTTCAAATGTACTTCTTATGGATATGTTGGTAATGTTGGCATCATAAACAATATGAATTTAGTATTATGGACATCAGTTAATAAGGAGGCTTATCGCTATGTGTAAATCAGGCCAACTGATGACCATGATGGATAAATCTAAACATTAGAACTGCATGAAAATATGGATTTGAGAAAGCATAATTAAAAATGTTGGCTTACTTGTATATGAAGTTTTCTTAACCATAGCTTGATATGGTATCTTAACTGAGCCAATTTTGTTCACTTCTTAGTGATTGTAATATTACAGTAAATATGTATAAAGTAGAATGAAACTTTAGATCTGTGATTTTCAAATTGTTTCTGAAGAACTGTAGTATTCCTTGAGAGCTTACCAAAAAAAATTGAGAGAAATCATTGACAATAGCAGGCAGTGTTTCCTGAAATTATTTTCCCACTACCACTGATTTTCTGCTGTAATTTTCAGATAAAAAAGTATTTAGTGTGTTCTAGGCTACACTATGAGTTCAAAGGAAGCAGTATTTAGATACAGCAAGTCTGACCAATACCTTATGTACATAAAAGGAATATATTTGAAAAAAACAAAAATTCTCCTTAGAAGATAATGGATTCCTCTGCAAACATAAATTGGAAAAATCATTTAATTAAAGTAAAAAAGAAATCACTACAAAAATAGCCTGTTTCTTGTATATCAAAACATAAAAATTCGTCTTATTTTCCTGAAAATTAAGAGTTTTTCTCAAATTTATTTAATTTATAATTTATCTTAAATGTGCTATAAATAATGAAGTAATGAGGAAAGATTTTTTTTCCCTAAACTGCAGTCTTGAAACCAACAGACATTAATCTTCTGTTAATTTTTTTTAGCCTGCTGATTCTCACCTGGAATGAAATTAACAAAGCAATCGTGTTATTTGAGACTGATGTAATCTGTAGTACTCATTCCTGTCTCCCAGTATCTATACTCTGCTAGATAGTCATTCAACATTAACTCTTTTATGATATTAAAATTAGGACAATAAGTTTATGGAGGTAGTCAGTAGCCAATATAGATAGATATAGATATATTGTCTTTGAATTGACACTGCAGCAATGAAGTTTCTTTACTGGTGCATTGATGATAACTAGTAGACAGTGTCTTATCACTGGATCCCATTCTGGCATTAAAGTCTCCTCCAATTATTACATAAGCAGTAGGGAAGTTTTAGTCTTCAAAGTAGTTTTTTAGTTTGTCATAATTACTTTTAAATGAAGAATTGGACCATAGGGATGGTAGATAAACATTATTAACTAAGACTCTTTGGATCCCTGAATTTAAATTTAAATTTGGCATATGAATCATGACTTTCACTATGCATAAGTGTAAACTATGTATAGACTTTCTTGGTTGTTAATGGTATTTGTGAATACAATTAATCTCAATATATAGATCCATAGGTTTTTTTATATCATGCCTTCTAAACAGATTCCTGGTTTATTGTAACATCTAATTAAGTTTGGCAAACTGTGTAATTCTACAAAACATAAGCACCAAACACTTGAAATATTTGAAGTAATAAAATATAGTAGCTATGTATAGTTTTTATGTATAAGTAAACATGTATATTTATTTATATGCATAGGATATAGTTATTTGTCTTTTAAAGCTGTTATTGAATTATTGCAATTTCTGACCTGCATATGTTAAAAAGAAATATTCTGTATTCTAGATAAAACTTGGACATAGATCAGAAGCTAAAGATGGTAAGTATCTGAAATATCTAATTTAAAAAACACTGCTTGGTTAGGTAGTTTCTGAAAGATGAAATAAGGGACTCTCAGCAGTTCAAAATATGTATCAAAACTATATCATAAAACATCCCCAATAAAGCAGAGAAAATAAAACAATAAACCAATCCTGACAAATTTAAAATTCTTGGTGTCAACTCCTATCACAAAATTCTGAGAGAATCTCTGTTTTAATTGCTTCTGGAAAGCCAACAATATAGGATTGATCTAATTTCTAAGGGGAGGCAATTCCAAAATACAGCAATACTGACAAAAAAAAATATGCATTTGCAATCCTCTAATCCAGAGGTCCCCAACCTATTGGGCACCGGGGACCGGTGCCATGGATAAACAATTTTTCATGGACCAGAGGGTGTGGTTTTGATACTGACTGCATTCTGAGGATGGAACTTTGCTTGTTTGTGCAGCTTGCTTGCTGGCAAGCTGTAGACTAGTGCCGGTCCAGAGACCGGGAGTTGAGGATCCCTGCTCTAATCCTTTCACTACATGAAAGTGGGGAATCACCATCAGTTTCTCCTGGGATATCTGTATTGAGAAAAACCAGGTGGCTACCAGAAACCTTTTGGATACATAAATAGAGTAGACTATCCAAAACGTTTGTTTGCTCTGCAGGATTTTTAGTAGCTGCCATATCATCTGGACCAGAAAGGGATCTGATCGCAACAAAGGGCAGGTTTAATTTCCTTCCGTATCCAAATCATAATATCTACTCAGACAAAACAAGCCCAACTGCTTGTATGTTATGACAAATTACATGGGACAAGCCCATACTTGCCACAGAGGCTATGAGCTCCCAAACTCTTTCCTAACACCTCTAAGACTTCAGTGGAAATTGTAGTCACCCAACACCAAAAACTGAGCAGATTTTAACACCAGCCTTGATACCAGATCAAATAGATAGATACCCAAAACCTAGGAGTGAGAAATCTCTTGACTGCTTGACTTTGTTGCCTTTGCCCATCCAGGTGTCAGTAATATACAGTATACTGCATTCACATAAACATCTACAAAGAATTTGTAAAGAGTAAGAACTTAATAAACGTGGACCTCAGATGACATCAACAAAATTATTTAAGTTGATCACCTGATACACAAGCAGGTTGAATGAACAACATGGCCTTTGAAATTAATCTTAAAGATTTACTGCATATTAAGGGCAGCTGATATCTGAAGCAGATTACTTCAGGCTGTTTGCATGCTGTTGAGTTTGCAATTATTAAGGAGTTAGTGCAGTGATATTGTGGATACAGATAATACAGGCTCATGTAATTACTGTACTCTGATTAATGATAATTAGGAAATTTAAGATTTTAAAGTGTATCAGTATAGATATGGGCACCTAATTTACTACCCCATAGAAAATAAGCTCTTATCTTATTCCCCTTTTCCCCCATTACAATCTACTATAGAAACAATGAATTTTGGAGGAAATGTGACATCATAGAATATATGCATAGGGACCTAGCCTTTTCTAGAAACAGTCTTTCCCTCATCACTCAGAATATAGAGAATGTAAAATATAATTCTATTCTTTTTTTTCTGTAATATTTGAGTGAATCTCGGATATAAGTGGAAATGTTTAAGAGTGCTGTGTTTGTGTAAATTTTATGAGGAAAGTTCATGCTGTACTTAATGTGTTCATCGTTAAACTGCTTTAAGATGCTATTAAACTAGTTCCTGTAATTCACCATTGTATATGAAGATAGGAAATGGTAGGAATCTCTCTGAAACTTGCTTTCTTTTTAATTGGAAATTCTAGTATTAAATCAGAAACATAAGCAATTCCTGTACAACTCTTACTTGGGGAATTTTCTTCTAAGGTCTTCTAAGATTCAGAACAGGAGTCTGGTCCTTCTAAGAGGGCTGATCACTTCAAATAGATTCTGGATTTCTAGAGTTGAAGCATATGGGCATAGCACTATTACAAATGTGAACCTAAATCATTAAGATAGAAGTATCAGCATTGAGCACTCCTTATCAATGCAGTCTTTGAAACGCCAAGGTACCTCAAAGTCTTTTAATTTTTTGTTCTTTCAAATAAGGTATAAATAGAACAGCGCTTAGAGAAATAAAACTGCTGCAGGAGCTTAGCCATCCAAATATTATTGGAGTAAGTATGAAGTATTATATAAAAAAATCTTTGTTATGTTGTTACCTTGCTGTCAATATAATTGGCTAGAACTTGCTACTTCTATGTAAGAATTCCCAGAAAAATCTATCTTCTAAAATTGATAGGAAAAAAATTGACTTGGAAAAGCCATTTGTATATTAGGCTTATTTCATTACATTCTTATATAAGCTATTTACCTATGGCACCTTTCTGTTCACTGAAGTACTCCATGTATATTAGGATGATATGAAAGAGGCAAATGGCATGGTTCAGTTTCAGGTAAATCTTGATTATGTTAAAGTGGGAAGAAACCATATATATTGCAAGAAAAGAATGTAATTTCTAATAGCAATGAACTCCTTGGTTTCAGATATTAAGGACCCTGGTTGTTGGGGGCAATATGCTGACATTGTAAACCATCCAGAGAGTGCTATAAAACACTACGGGGCAGTATATGAGTCTAACTGCTATTGCTATTGCAAAGTGCTATTAATTATGAACCCATGTGCTGAATTTTTGGAGTATGGTTACTTGCTGAGAAAGCCTTTGCTAACTATTATGCTATATTTGAATAGTTTCCCAAAGGAACTCAAGACATTGAAAACATATTCTTCAGTCAAAAAAGTTTTGCAAGCTCCAATCTCTAAATCTCTACATCTACCCCATGTTACAGTATGAATAAGTATATGGCCAGGAACTAGTAACAATATGCAACAGTAATGATCAAAATTAAAAGGAAAACAGTTTGGAGTATGATTCAAAGAATAAAGCTTATTATTTAGAGAACAGTAAAATCTTTAGAATACTGCTTGTTGCATAATGATTACTGTAATGTTTCTCTCTTGCCTCTCTCCCTGCTCCAGAATCTAAAAATTAAGGACAGTCCTAAGTATAGGAAATAGTTTAGAGCTTAGTTTATAGCTTTGCAATGAAACCTGACTGCAGGAATGTGGTTTTAATCTTTTGCCTTGGTTATTTTACTCAGATAAGTAGGACCTTTTGCAGTTGTAAATGTGCTTAGTTATTTCATATTTAGATCAACAGAAATCATTCCTATGACCCAGGGCTTTATTGTCCAGCATTATCTCACCACTATGGTCCTGTTATACAACTTATTAACATTTGCAAGTTAAGCAGGTTAAAGAAAAACAGCTCATCTTCGCTGCTGTAATATATATACAAGGCCTCTTACATTGGTTTATTTCTGCTAACTTTTTGGCTTGAGATAGAATGAATAGAGCTTTTCATCATATTATTGTTTTTGCTATGTGGGATTTAGAAAATTATAACATATTCAAGATGCCAAAGATAAGAGCAAACAGCTGCAAAGATGGAGCAGAAACATTAACTATGTTTTATTTATTGAAGTAGAATGCTAGCACATATTTTAACATTCCTTTCTATAGTCTTTTATTTACGTTGAGCCAGCATACCAAGAAGTCAAAAATGCTGTTTCGAGTTTGTGTATTATTTATTTAAATTTATCCTGCCTTTCAGTATATACATAGTAACAAGGTGGGTTATAGACAACATTAACAAGCATTAATAAAATCATAATAAAATAATGAGATAATTCTATTTAAGAATCAAACACCCTTTCAGATTAGTATTCTACTATTAATATTCCCTACATATGGCAGAACCATCACACTATTTGATATCTTTAAGAAGTTGTCAGACAGTGTAGAAAAGATGTTAGTTTCCTCATTTTAAAAAAAATTCCAGTTAGCACTCCTGGACACAGCAGGTAGCTTCAGGACACCATAGAAAGGTAAAAGTAGCTAGAGCAATCACCTGATAGCTTGGTGTGCCTCCCAGCTAACTAACACTGCTTGTGAATTGACCAAGCAGGAAGAAGACACCGCAGGTTATTTTCCTCAGGATTTCTTTAAACCTGGACCCATTTCCGTTTATGAAACAAGAACTACAAACATCTAGATGTCTTTTTCTTCCAGCTTCTTGATGCATTTGGACATAAATCAAACATCAGTCTAGTGTTTGATTTTATGGAAACTGATCTAGAGGTAAGACTGCTTAAACCATTTTCTACTGGTTTAACTTTGCATGTAGAGGCAAGTTTCACTCTTTATACATACTCATTAATCCTAATCACTCTTTGTGCATAACCAAAGCTCATAGGAAGAAGTCACAAAGTTTCAGGAAGAACTAGATAAAAGAATAGAAAAGTAGAATGTGTCACTTGATTTATTAAATAGTCTAATGAATTGATTTATATCTGAAAATATATCTCATAAGTTTTTTCAGGTATCATTTATTACTTCCTTCAACTTTAACTTGTCATTGAACCCTTTTGAGGTATCTTATATTGCTTTTAAGTCTAAGAAAGTGTCTGTCCCTAATTCTATTTTCTTCTATTAGAGCAGATATGTCAGACTCACAACATCACATGACATCGCGCAATGTATTGGGACAGTTTTGCCATTGCCGGCAATGGGGTGGGCGCAGCTTCCGCGTGATGTGTCCGGCCCATGGGCCAGCAGTTTGACAAACCTGTAATAGAGGAATAGCAGTTTTTATCCTCTAAGTCATATACTAATATTGTGCATTATTCTGAAGGCAAGTAACATAATTGAGTCATACTGCAAAACAACCTATTTGATATAGTCCAAGAAAGTAAGTTCATGAAACAGAGGGCTGAAGATAGTACTGCTTTTATCAAAGAGAGTAAATTGCTTAAGGAGATATTCATTTAAATTAGACCTAAAACATTCTAATGAAGTGTCTCTCAGATAACTTTTTGTCAAATAGAAACTGTGGGTCAGCTTAATCATGTTTGGCAGAGAGCCATAGAAATCAGTGAGACTAAGTTAAGACAAACTGATGCCCTATGATTTAATAATTCTGAACTTTGTAGCTCAGTTCATACCACTTACTAAGCCAAAACCAAGTCACATTATGGTTTAACATAAAGTGAGATACCAACCATTGGAGTTTGTAAACTACAGGGTATAGCTTAGTTATCTTGTGGGAGCACCATCAAGATTTCACAAAAATATATAATCTTTAGTAGCCTTGTCACTCAATAAAGTCACATTACTAATATTATTGAAGAATTCATCTTCTGTAAGTCTGCGGTGAAAAGTATTCATTATTCTGGAAACCATGTTTGCTGTTCCTCATTATTATTGACATGAAGCTTTGTACCATCTGCATTGGTCTGTTCTATATTTGAATACAGACATTTGTGTAAACTTAGTTATTAAGTGGTTGGAGTTTATAAAATAATAAACTCTTTATTATCAAAGTATAACATATATACAGTGAAATTGACTGAGCCTCCCTCTGTGCCCCCCTTCACCACAAACTTGCGTTGACTACAATATATATAAGAGCCGAGGTGGCGCAGCAATTAGAGTGCAGTACTGCAGGCCACTTTAGCTGACTGTGTTCAGCAGGTCAGCAGTTCAAATCTCACCGGCTCAAGGTTGACTCAGCCTTCTATCCTTCCGGGGTAAGTAAAATGAGGACCCAGATTGTTGGGGGCAATGTAAATATATATATACATTGCTTACTGGTGTACACCGCTTAGAGAGTGCTTGCACTTAAAGCGGTATATAAGTCTCATAAATAAATAAATAAATAAATAAATATTGCTTTACAGGTTATAATAAAGGACACTAGTCTTGTTTTGACACCTTCCCACATCAAAGCATATATGCTGATGACACTTCAGGGATTAGAATATTTACACGAACACTGGATACTTCATAGGGTAAGTAAGCCTAGAGACAAAATGAATGGACCTCCAGCCAACAGTGGTCTTCTTTAAACAGGAGTTGGGGGACTAGAATGATGGAACTCTTTGTAAATTCCTTGTCTTGTCCTTAATGAAATCTGAAGTGTTAATATCTAAATAAAATTTCATTTATTTGTCTAAATAATTTACAGTCATGTTGCTATTTTTGTCCTAATAGCGAAATGTAGAAATGGTGATCTTTCTGAATGACACCTCTCACAAAGCCAATACTTTCAAATAATATATCATTTGGATTTATGGTATGTTTTAGTAATTTGCTCAGAATGCTTTCAATGGTGGAAAAACAAATTGTGTCGCCAACACAAAGAGACATAACAGACTGATCATTTGGGTAAAATTATTTGTCTTAACTTTTTTTTTGTTTCTAATAAGTTATGGACCTTCACATATCCTTGGAGACAGAAATAAGCATAAAGTTTAGGTATTATTGTTTCTGTTTGGTTGTGTAATCGTATATGTGTGTAATTGTAAACATCTGCTTCCTATAAACCTATTTCTCATTAAGTACATGTTTTGATAGCTTAACTTATATCTTTTATGAGTGGTAAAAGTTACTCCTTTTCTAAATGTATTTTCATTTGAATATAATATACTCCTATCATTTTTCTCAATCTCTCTTTTCAAGGACCTTAAGCCAAATAATTTGTTGCTGGATGAAAATGGAGTTTTAAAACTAGCTGATTTTGGTTTGGCAAAATCTTTTGGAAGTCCAAACAGAGTTTATACACATCAAGTAGTAACAAGGTAAGAAAGAAAATTTCAGTGCACACAAATAGGCTAATCACTTTGTCTGCTTGTCTAGTGACAACTTAGGGAAGGAGGGAAAATTAAATAAGATGGACACTGGGGCAGAATGGATGGACTAGACCTGGAGTAGAATAAAAAAAGATCTGTGTTCAGCTCTGGAGTTTTTTTTTAGTAATGTTTTACTAATATTTTACAATCCAAAAAACTGTTAGTAACTACTGTTTTTTTCTGAAGCACAAATAAAAAAGCATTTGAAATTTATAGAAAATACTTTTAATGCTTTTTTTGTTTTAGGATTTTCTGAATTCTTTTACAGCATCTTCCTTGAATAAAGACATTGAACACAGACATAATGTTATATCTTTTAATCAGACAAATCTAAGATTACAGCCAGAAAAAAAAATACATCCATAAAGATAGCTTCTTATTCCATTGGCTTGTGATACTGAAAAGCAGTATGGCTGTGACTATTACTTCAATGCCTTATGCTCTTGGTAATCAAAATGTATCTTGAACTGTACCTAAATAAAAATATTAGATAGTTCATATCTTATATACAGCTTCTAATCGCCACTCCATAGACTTGGTTATGTGAAGATGTTTCAGATAATTTTGATGTTTAAAGATGCCGTTAATCCACTTTGGTCCACAAAATATTATAATGCCAGCAAAGTCAAGAGCCATTTTGGTGTTGTGGTTAAAAGCACCACACTAGAACCTGAAGAATGTGAGTTCTAGCCCCACTTTATGCAAGAAACTAATCAAATGACTTTGTATCAATCATTCACTCTCAACCCTAGGAAGAAGGGAATGGTATATCACTTCCAAATATCTTGCCAAAAAAAGTGACTCCAGCAATTACCAGGTGTCAACACTGACTCAAAGGCATGCACATGCACCCACACACAAAATCAGAATAGTAGTTTTAATTAGATTTATATAATAAGACAAGATGCATTAATCCAGTAGACATAATCAAGGTTATGGTTGTTATAATATTTTGAGTGCAATAATGGCTTTTCTTTCATTCAATGAATTAGCCAATGATAGTAGGATACATAGCACCAACTGGACAAAAGAGGAATTTGCTAGTCCAGTGCTAATGAAAAGAAGTGATTTTGAATCATTTTTGACAATGATAAATAATATACACAAGCAGAAGATTCAACATCCCATAATACCCAAGTTTATTCTATATAAATGAGACTAAACAAGAAAAGTAGAAATCTTCATCTCACACAATCTTGTGTGCTTACAAAGACATGCTGGTTGGAGTGTGATTACAGAGAGGGAAGGAGGGAATGCAGCAATTCTCCCTTCCAACTCAGAAAATGTTAAATATTGCTGGAGCGTCAGGACTGAACTGTAATATAGTTAATGGGGGGATCTCTTACTTTGGGGGAAAGGAAAAAGATGATATATATGTAAAGCATTTTAGAAGAACAGACACTGAAGATGTTTCTGGTACTTATTTAGTTTAATACTAAACACTAATTTTCACATTAGCTGAATACAGTAAATTACATAATGGTACATTAATAACAGAGCTTAATTTATAGTATAATATTAAATATATTTTCAGATCCTGGGATAGATGAACATTTTAATCATTATTTCCTCTCCATCTCATCATATATAATGATACTGAATTGGAAGATTAGATTCCCGCCAGATTAATTTTAAACAGTGATTAAGATCTTTTTATAAATTTAAAATTGTTTAAAAGTCAGTTTTTCATAGGTTTGCTGTTATTGTTGTTCAGTTATTTCATCTTTATGTGGGATGTAATTACTTTTTCATATGACTATACCTGGTAGGAAATGGACAACAGTATCTTGGCTTGCAAGATAGTCTCTGCAATAAAGATCCTAGCTTGCAGAAAATAATGTGAGCATGCTGGAAATAAACCTTGTACCAGATTTGATTGTGCCTGTGACATACTGGGTAAAATGCACCAAAAATGACTTCTCCCTAAACTTAGAAAGGTGTTACAGGTAGCACGGGTATAACTGTGACTGATAACTAGATTATACCTTCTCTGTCTTACAAATAATGCTGTGTAAAAGTCTTCAAGAACCAAAGCCATGTTGAATAGTGATGGTGGTAGTCAATATTTATAAGCCCATCTGATTATGCCCATGGCATATGGAAGATTGTGTCTTGAAATGTAAGAAGAATAAATAATACAAAGCATGCATTAATAACTGAAAGAAAGAATAGGTGCATTGTGTTTCAGTGCAGGTAAGAGAAAGAGGATGGATTTAACAAAAGTTGGCTATTCTTGGAGAATGTAGTTAATAATTACATGTAGGATTTAATTATGAATGAAAGACTAAAATATATCTCTAAAAGTATGAATTGGAATAATCTAATCTGTTATATGTATGAAAGTAGGAATCTATAGATTGTTGTTATATTATTATAGTGACATATTCCACTGAACAGTGATAAAAATGAATTTTGTATAAAATCATGCAACATTTTAAATGAATACAAATGAGGAAGAAATTGTTTTGTTAAATTATAAAAAACAAATGGGAGGAGCACGACAGGAAAGTATGGAAAAAACTATTGGTCTATGAGGTGACTTAAAAATGAATTAGAAGGGCAGATGGTGAGAATTAGTTAGAAAACTAATTCTGTTTTGAATATGTGGTTAAGCATAAATGTATTCATATACACTTGGCAAAGAAAGTACAAATCTAAAAATATGATTAATGTGATTGCGTTGAAGTATTGAGAGAATTAGTGAAGAATACAAGGGTGGTGAGTAGTTTTGAATGTGGGAAAGATCATTTTTGGATCTTGGGGGGAAAATGGACATGGAAGGATGTCAGAGCATGCACAGTCTTATTGCGCTGAGGTAACCTAGGAATAAATACAGTAAACAGTGGTTTGTATTAAATGGTTTATATTACAATATCTACAAATATACTAGACACAAAATACATACACGTGGTGATAATTCAGCAAACTCCAATACATAGCAGGAAACGGACAAGAGAGAACACAGCATTAAAAGCTTTCCCTTTTATACTCAGGCTCTTAAAGGGATACACACACCTGCTGAGTCATTCTTATTATTGTATCATCCACCTTACATTGCATTATATCATTACATAAGCTGTTTAGCTATTAAATTATTATCCTGACACTCCTCCCATTTAAAGCTAAACAGCTGTTAACCCAAATGCTTTTACATTTACATTTGCCTGCATTTAAAACAAGGGTGTCAAACTGCCAGCCCACGGGCTGGATGCGTCATGCTGAAACTCTGCTCACCCCAGCTCCGGCAATGGGGAAAAAGTCGTGACATGTCACGTGACATGGCGAGTTTGACACCCCTGATTTAAAACCTAGTCAACATATCAGCTTGAATAATTGAATAATTTTTCTCTGTGTACATTCCTGCCTTATACTGCAGTTAATTATTGTGTCCTTCCATTTATCCTTTTCTCCTTGAGGTAATGATAACATTTCTTGATAATCACGGGGTTCATACATTACGCTATATGCTCTAACCCCACTTGCTGTGAATCGATCAGGAGGTACACCTTTATTACTAAGTTCAGACCTCCTTGGGATCACTTGTTCTTGTGTTTCTGCAACTTCTCTCTTTATCTCAGGTCTATTCTTATCTATCCCTATTATTTCTGACCTGCTGTCCTGTTCGTCCTTCATTAGGTTTTGTGTAGCCTCTCCTTCCTGAGAACTAACGCTACTTGTTGGCATGAACACTTCAGTGTTAGTGTATACCCTGTTCCAATTATTTTGTTCTGCAAAACTAGCAGAACTTTCTTAGTTCCATCTGAAAATCTATATCCTTTGGAACCTGACTCATATACCACAAACCTAAGTTTCCTGGCCTTTTTCTGTCCTTTCCTTCTGGTGCCTTTGGGGATATGCACCTAGGCGTAACTGCCAAATGTCCTTAGATGAGCCAATGAAGGTTTCCTGCCATACAACATTTAATATGGAGTTTCACTGATAGCAACACTCCATACCCTGTTCACTAAATAGTTGGCTGTTTTTATAGCTTCTCCCCAGTATGTGTTACTCATTCCTGCATCTGCCAGCAGTGAGTCTTTATGGTCTGCAATATATACCATTTCTCCTTTCAGCCACTCCATTTTCTGCTGGTGTGTAAGGGTTTGTGCATCTATGCCTTATGCCTAAATTTCTCAGCTACCTTTGGAAATTATCAGACATGAACTCTGTTCCCCTGTCTGTTTGCAACTGGCATACTTTGTGACTATACCTTTTCTCTACACCCTTGTTTAAACAGTTTTGTTCTTTAATAAGTAGCAGAACCCATACCTGGTGTTATTGTTGTTAGTTGCAAAGTCATGTCCGCCCCATCGCGACTCCATAGACAACGTTCCTCCAGGCCTTCCTGTCCTCTACCATCTTCTAATTATGCATCTTTTCCATATAATTATTACTTACCAATAACTTTACTTTCTTCTAAGAACTTTCAGTGCATGTGTTACTTCAGAATTGGCCATTTTTTTTATCTTGGTAATTACAGTTAGGACTCATTCAACCTAATGGTTAATTTAAGCTGAATTAAAACCATGAGGTTTTTTAGAAACTCTGTTTTTGAAGGTTTGATATTAATGGTATTAATTATATTGTTCATTACTTTTTCTTCAACTTTTTTCATATTTTTTTCAAGCTAAGTTTAAGGTACGTATCTGTAGGGAAGGTCTGTCTACTTAAATAAATATTTTCATCCTTTAAAAAGTGAAGAAGTGTGTAGTTTCTCTCTCTCTTTCCATATAGCTTGATTGTGAAAAAGGTATAAAATATCTCATACCATGGTAAGCTTTTAAAGATGTACTAGAATATATTACTCATACATGATTTTTTAAAGATTTGTTGATTACCCACCCATATTTTATTGTTTATATTTGATTTCTTATCTGCATTTCTTCTTTATATTGTTTTAAACTTGTACTTTGAAAAAAAAAATTGACAAGTTTGTACCTTGTCTTCCATATGCCTTTTCAGTGAAGACAATGTAATCTGATTGTTAACCTGTTTTACAGGTGGTATCGAGCACCTGAACTATTGTTTGGAGCTAGAATGTATGGAGTGGGTGTGGATATGTGGGCAGTAGGCTGCATCTTGGCTGAATTGCTTCTAAGGGTAAGAATGGGGGACAGGGCTTGACTGAAAATGCACGACAGATTAAATTTCACTTCTTGCGCCATCATTCAGTCTGTTGGTGTTAACAAAGAAGAGAGAACTAGGGAGAGCCTTGACTGAGAGATTTTCTTAGGTTACAGTTCTGCCCCTAACTCGGATTCCTTTTATCTAACCATTGTCTTGGTAGAGGCTGTTCCTGAAGGTTATTCCTTCTGCCATAACAAATACAAGTATCTTACTTATTTAGCTATATTTATAGATGAGCCCAACCTAACTGACTGTGTAGAGTACAAAGCAGGGCAGAGCGTCCTCATTACTAAAAGAGAAAATCAGTTGTCATACTCATCATAGTGGGGGGAAAAAAAAAGAAAAAACCAAAGCCAGATGAGCCCTGCAAATTATTCCAGGCTCCAGCAGCCCATTGAAATAGAGCTGCTTTGAAGGGAAGGGTCAGTCACACTTCAGAGGGTGAGTAGGGGAGGAAGACTACTCTATAATCATCTTTGGTATCTCCATGAAACCTAAGAAGTTCCTTCTGTTTAGGCTTGCTTTTCTTCAATTGATACTAATAATGGGTGGCATCTGAGCCACATTGGAGTGGGACACTCTGTTTTTCGTTTTGCCAATCCCTTTCTCATGTCCCTCTTGATGAGGCAGTGAACAGATTGCTTGGAGAAGCCTTTTCTCTACTCTTTCATCACTTCAGTCATTCCAGGGTTTCTCTCCATCCTAGTCCTCCCTCTCATCTGTAAGAAATTAAATCATTCTCCAGTCATTGCAAAAAACCAGAATCTTGCAATGTAGAGAATTTATTGCCATGGCTTGAATTTATTGCTCAGAAACCCTGAGACTTGTAAAGCCAAATAATTAAACATTTTGAATGTCAGTATATTCATCTTACTATAGGTTCCATTTTTGCCAGGAGATTCTGATCTGGATCAGCTCACCAAGATTTTTGAAACTCTTGGTACGCCAACAGAGGAGCAATGGCCTGTAAGTTGATTGGCTGAAGAATTAAATTGTATTTATAGATGGGGGACTATCATTCCATGGGTAGCTAAGCTTTTCTTCTTATATTTTTTTTCTTTTCTTCCAATAGGGTATGACAAATCTTCCAGATTATGTTACTTTTAAAAGTTTCCCTGGAATGCATTTTCAGCACATCTTCAGTGCTGCTGGTGATGATTTGTTGGAATTACTGCAAGGCTTATTTCGGTTTGATCCTTGTACTAGGTTCACAGCTACTCAGGTATTTAATTTACCCTATAAATTACTGTTAGTGTATTCAAATATTTTTTGTTGGCAAAATTTGTTGTAAAAAAAAAACCTACATCTTCCATGCCTATTGTACTTTTTGGGCCATTTTCTTGGCAATGAGCTTGTTTCTGATGTTATCGGTAAGTTAATAACATTTCAGTTTGCCTTCTGACAACCAGTTCTCAAGGTACAGGTAAGATGGTAGGAAAAAGGCCAATTTGAATCAGGCTGGTGGCTAAACTGTGATTCAGCCAAAGCAGGACTTCTTCAGCCAAAGTCTAGGGCCGCAAACTCAAGCAATCAGTCAGGTAAAGCAGCTACGCTATGGAGAAGAGAGAGAAGGGAGCAAGGTTTGTGTCTTGCTAATGGAAAGGAGAAGCATGCCTGACCTCTCAGCACTTAGTGGTAAAGCAATTTATCCCTTGGCTCAAGCTGCAGAGAAGAAGAATGGGCACTGAACCAATAACTTCCCTTTCTCTGAGGCCCCACAAGTAGCTAGAGTGCTTGCAACAGAATTTATAATAAGAAGATGCAAGTATCACTGAATTTAGAGACTTATTCCCATATTGTATTTGTAATTGAAAGCATGTGTTTTAAAATCTTGGTTTGGTGTACTTTTTAATCAACACTAGCAAAATGTTTCAGACCTTTTTCTTTTCTTTTCTTTTTTAACAATATTTTATTGAGTTTATATACATAAGGAAAAAATAGGAACAATACGGATACGGTAAGAAAAGGGGATGGGGGGAAGGGAATAGAGGATTTAGGATAAAATAAGGATAGATACAGTCACATATTTTAACAAACAAGCTACTGTCCGGATCATAATAATGAGTAACTATCATACTCAACCATTTTTAAAATAAGCTTAACTACAGCCATATTACTAACAATTAATAATAAATTCATCTGTTTAAATAAACATGAATAATAAAATCTCAAAAAGTCCTGACTATCAAGATTTACAGATAAAAATCACTAAAAATAAAAATGTCATCAACTTTTTTTTTTATTGAAAATTTTTATTTTTTAAAACATACAATCATTTATAAAAATACAATAAAATTTTAAAATAGAGAACCCCCCCCTTACCCTCCCTCCCACCCCCACCCCCCCTCCCTTCACTTCCCAGAGCAGAATACAGGGTTAAGAAAAAAAAAGAAAAAGAAAATTATAATAATTAAAAAAAAGAAAAAAAAGAGAAAGAAAAAAAAATATCATAATTAACCTTTAACTCCATAACTTATAAAACAATTCTCTATAATATTTGATATTCATTCATAAAATAAATAAAACTTTTTAATTCCATATTTTTTCTGAATATAATCTATCCACCTTCCCCATACAGTAATATATCTTTCTTGTGTATGATCCTTTAAATAAGCAGAAATTTTTGCCATTTCTGCAAAACTAGATACTTTAAATATCCATTCTTCTAAAGTAGGCAAAGAATCTTTCTTCCAATATAGACCTACTAGTAACCTTGCTGCAGTTAATAAATTCAACATCAAAGTAGTTTCTTTTTCATTTAAGTCAACAAAAATACCAAGTAAAAATAGTTGAGGAGTAAACTTTATCTTCTTTCTAAAAATCTTTTGAATGTTCCACCAAATCATAATCCAAAAAGCCTTTACTTTTTTACAATTCCACCAAATATGAAAGTATGTCGCATCATTATTGCCACATCTCCAACATTTGGGCTGTATGTTGGAATACATACAAGATAATTTTTTAGGATCTAAATGCCATCTATAAAACATTTTATAAAAATTTTCTCTCAAATTTTGAGCTTGTGTAAATTTAACATTTCTTATCCAAATTATCTCCCATAAATCCAATGAGATCGGCTCCTGTATATTCTGAGCCCATTTAATCATACAATCTTTAACCAATTCTGTTTCCGAATCTAACTCTAATAAAACATTATATATTCTTTTTATATGAGCCGGACCTTGGTTTTTAATCTGAATAACCAATTGTCTATCTTCTAGTGTTATTCCCTCTTTCTTTTTTTTTTTTTTTTTATTGAAAGTTTTATAAATTTTACAAAAAGACAAAAACAATACAAAACAAAAAACAACATATACACAAAAAAAAATAAAAAACTAAACATTACATATAAACCCCCCCCCCATCCCCCACCCCTCACAAACACCCTCCCTTCCCCCCCCCTGAGCTTCCCAGAGCAGAATATAGGCTTAATTAAAAATTAACAAATAAAGATAAAAATTAAATTAAAAAATTTATATTTATATATATATATAAAAATATCTATATATAACATTCTCTATATATAAAAATAAAACTTATGAAAAAACTATGTGATATTTTTTTATACCCAGTCTAAATTGTATAAATTTTATCCATTTATCCCAAACGGCAAGAAACTTCTCTTGCGTTTGTTGCTTTAAGAAAGCCGAAATCTTTGCCATTTCCGCCAAATAGGACACTTTAAGAAACCATTCCTGCAGTGTAGGCAAAGATTCCTTCTTCCAATATTGTCCAACTAACAGCCTCGCGGCTGTAATCAAATTTAACATCAATACAACCTCCTTTGTATCACAATCTGTAACAATGCCCAACAAAAATAATTGCGGAGTAAATTTTACCCTCCTTCTAAAAATTCTCTGGATATTCCACCATATTTTAATCCAAAATGCTTTTATCTCTCTGCATGACCACCAAATATGATAATAGGAAGCATCCGTATAACCACATCTCCAACATTTGGGTTGTACGTCAGGGTACATAAAAGACATTTTTTGTGGATCAAGGTGCCATCTATAAAACATTTTATAAAAATTCTCCCTAAGGTTCTGTGCTTGTGTAAATTTGACATTTCTCACCCAAATGGTTTCCCAGATGTCCAATGAGACTGGGACACCAAAATTCTGCGCCCATTTAATCATACAGTCTTTAATTAATTCCGTTTCTGAGTCCATTTCAACTAATACCCCGTAGATTCTCTTGATGTGGGTTTGTCTTTGATCCTTAACTTGTTTAATAAGATTTCCATCTTCTCTAAGAAAACCCAATTTACAATCCACCTTCCATTTATCTACTAGTTGCCTATATTGGAACCAAGAATAAATAATATTTTCTTGCGCTAAATCTTCCCGTAATCTTAACTGCCAGTTTTGCCCATCCCATCTAAGTAGCTGACTATAAGACACCATATCCATTTTTACACCCCTTTTTATTCCTTCTATCGCATGCCAAGGTATGGCCCATAATGGAACTTTAAAATCACTTTTATAATATTTTCTCCAAGTCCTAAGTAAAGAGATTCTTAAAATATGAGATTTAAAGACCCAATCCATTTTTTTATTAAATATTAAATAGGCATGCCACCCATAAAGTAAATCCCATCCCTCTAAATGAAGTATCTCAGGATTTGTCAAATTTACCCAATCACTAATTAGTGTTAAAACCACCGCATCGTAATATAATTTCAAATTTGGTACCTTGAGTCCACCCCTCTCACGGAAGTCTTGCATAATTTTAAACTTAACCCTTGGCTTTTTCCCTGCCCAAATAAATTTATTAAGACCCTTCTGCCACTCACTTAAGTTAATCTCATTTTTCAAAATCGGTAACATTTGAAACAAAAAAAGAAACTTGGGTAGAATATTCATTTTTATCACTGCAATTCTTCCCATGAGGGATAATTGCAACTTCTCCCAATTCTTCAAGTCCTTCTGTACCCTGACCCACAACCTTTCATAGTTGTTTTTAAATAATTTTACATTAGAAACAGACAACATCACCCCCAAATATTTTACCTTATTAACAATCTCAAAACCCGTCAAGTTAGCCAAAATCTGCTTCTCCTGACTAGACATATTTTTAGGTAAAATTTTAGTCTTATTTACATTAATCTTAAAACCCGAAACCAAACCATAATGATGAATCAACTGTAATAAGTTTACTACAGAGTGATCAGGTTGCGACAAAGTAACAACCAAGTCGTCCGCAAAAGCTCTCAACTTATATTCTTTTTTGTTAACTTCTATTCCTTTAATTTCCTGAGACTCTCGAATTTTAATCAATAATATTTCCAATGTTAAAACAAACAACAATGGCGATAAAGGGCACCCCTGTCTAGTACCTTTCTCTATTGTAAAAACCTCCGACAAACCTCCATTAACAATAAGTTGTGCCGTTTGTTTTTGATATATTACCGTAAGGGCGTTATTCCCTCTTTCTTGTCTACAGTCCATCTATCCATTATTTGTAAATATTGAAACCATGACTGTAGAATATTTTGCTGCCTTAATACATCTAGGGATTTCAAATGCCAATTCGAACCAGAACAAATTAACAATTCTTTATATGAAATTTTATCAAAATTTGTCCCCTTAGAGGTTCCCTCAATTGCATGTCTGGGAATCCCCCAGATAGGTATTTTATAATTTAATCTATAATAATACTTCTTCCAAACACGAAGTAAGGCATTCCTCAAAATATGTGATTTAAAAGTCCGATCAACTTTCTTATTAAAAATTAAATATGCATGCCAACCATATATTAAATCCCAACCTTCCAAAAAAAGAATATCCATATTTGTTAAATTAAGCCAATCACTTAACCAAGTTAGGGCGGCTGCATCATAATATAATTTCAAATTGGGTGCCTTAAGTCCCCCTCTTTCTCGAGCATCCTGTAATATCTTAAATTTAACCCTTGGTTTCTTCCCGGCCCATATAAAATTATTGATACCCTTTTGCCATTCCTCCACCTCCATTTTTTGCCTCTTTTTTAAGAATAGGTATCATCTGAAACAAAAAAAGAAACTTTGGTAGAACATTCATTTTTACAGCTGAAATTCTCCCCAACAATGACAATTGCAATTTTTTCCAATCTATTAAATCCTTTTGGACTTTTGCCCATAGTGGTTCATAATTGTTCTTGTACAATTTTCCATTTGAAGCAGTTAGATATACTCCCAAGTATTTAACCTTTTTTACCATCTGAAAACCTGTGGCTTTAATCAAACTTTCCCTTTCTTTAACTGACATATTCTTAGATAATATCTTAGTCTTATAATTATTAACTTTAAAACCAGAAACATTCCCATACTGTGTTATAAGTTCTAATAAACCATCAATCGCCTGATTCGGCTGTTCCAAAATTAAAACCAAATCATCCGCAAATGCCCGCAATTTATACTCATTCTTCCTTATCTTTACACCCTTAACTAACTTCGATTCCCGAATCTGAATCAATAAAATTTCCAATGTTAAAACAAATAACAATGGGGATAATGGACATCCTTGTCTTGTCCCTTTTTGAATATTGAAATTCTCAGTCAATCCCCCATTTACAACAATTTGTGCAGATTGCTGCTGATATATAGCTTTAAGTGCATGTAAAAAATTATCCCCAAAATTCATTTTCTCTACCAAAGAAAATAAAAATTGCCAGTCCAATTGATCAAAAGCTTTTTCAGCGTCCAAAAAGATAAAAGCCACAGGAATCTGATTATTCTTATCCAAGTACTCAATTAAGTTAATAATTTGTCTAACATTATGTTTCATATATCTCCCTGTTATAAATCCTGCTTGATCACTATGAATCAAGTCTTTCATAACCTGCATTAATCTATTTGCCAAAATTTTTGTAAAGATCTTATAATCAACATTCAATAATGAAATTGGCCTATAATTCTTAGGCTCTGTAAGATCCTGATCTTCCTTCGGAATCAGTGATATAAAAGCTCTTTTCCAAGAAGGAGGAACTTGCATACCCAACAAAATACTATTAAAGAGTTCCTTTAGTGGCTCTATCATTTCTTCAGATAAAATCTTATAATACCTAGAAGTCAGTCCATCTGTTCCAGGAGACTTTCCAACCTTTAACTGCTTAATAGCTAAGCCAATTTCCTCCACAGTAATTAAACTATTCATCCCATTTTGTTGTTCCTCTGAAAGTCTAGGAAAATGTACTGATTGTAAATCAACTTATTAATTAAAACTCAGTTAAAAATTAATCATCTATTCTAAAATATTAAGTCCTTTTCAGATTCTAACGTGTCTCTAACCATTGATAACATTTTTCCCAAGTTATAAAATAAACTGAGTCATCTTTTTCTTTCATCTCCAATGTTAATCTATCCATTTCTGCACACTCTAAGATTTTAGTAATTATAGCCTGGTCAGTTGGTAGATTCTCATTTTTCCAAAATTGGACAAATACTATCCTCACGGCTGTTAAAACATGCAGTATCAAATAATCATTCTTTTTATCATAATTAGGTCTTGATATTCCTAACAAAAATAATTCTGGTTTAAATTCTATCTGTATTTTCATCATCTTTTCCAACCATCTATGAATCTTAGACCAATATTTCTTAGCATTAGGACATATCCACCAGGCATGGTAATAAGTACCTGGCTGTTTACATTTCCAGCAAGTATCCGAAACATTTTTAAACATTTTTGCTAAGTGAACTGGTGTCATATGCCATCTGTAAAACCTCTTATATAAATTTTCTTTATATGCTACCACTTTTGTAAGCTTGATATTTTTATCCCAAAGTTTTTGCCAGTCTTCCAAATCTATAGAATATCCAAAGTTCTTTGCCCATACTATCATTGTTTCTTTTACTTGTTCTTCTTTCATCTTCCAATTTAAAAGAAATTTATAAAGTTTCTTAATCAAATTCTCATCTGTTTTTAACAAAATTTTATCTAATGGAGTCTGTTCTTTATAAAATCCTGTTGGTTTTATATCTTTTTCGTATCTTGTTTGGATTTGCAAATAGGACCACCATGTTTCAGATCTTTTTCTTAAACCCCTTCTTGAGAACCCCGTATGAACAAATGTTTCCAGATAGATCTACCTTTATTTTATTTTATTTTATTGAAGATTGGGAACATCTAGTTATGTGCTGCAGCTGTTCTTGTGGTCTTCATTTTTTCTCAGGTCACACCAAAAGTTTTTCCTGGCATAGATACTTAGAAATGTATTTCAGTCCTATAGGTCCAAACAGAAAATATGAGGTGTAAAATTGCAAGTGGAATGGGATGTTTAGGCACCAACCCTTGGCTATACCTCCTTCGCCCCAGCCGCTCGCCTCAGCCAATTTACAGCCAGCCTTCCTCCTCTCCTGGTCCCCCCACAGCCATTCTCCACGGCTAATGGCCTCCTGATACTCTGGAGTCACCCAGTTGGTCAGAAAGCTCAGCCCCTTTTTAAAAAACTTGCAGAGCAGCTCCGGCGCTTTTTTTAAAATAAAAAATGCATTGCACACTGCCCATCCTACAGCCCTGCGATTGCCCATTGCCAATTGCACGCTGCCCCGCAGCACCATTGCTTCTGCCTGCCACCTGGTTGACTGGGGGCTATTTGTTCCATATAGCAAAATGCCTGGATCAAATGGTATCTGGGTGCAGGACCAGGGGCGCAGGGACAGGGGCCATTGGCTGTGGAGAATGGCCAGGGGAGGACCAGCGGAGGAGGAAAACTGGCTGTAAATCAGCTGAGGTGGGTGGCTGGGGTCAAAGGGGGCACGGCCAAGGACTGGTGCATAAAATCCTAGTCCCACTGAGTGTGCAAGCCTTCTCTACAGGTCTTTCTCGATTTACAACCATTCATTTAGTGACTGTTCAAAGTTACAATGGCACTGAAAAAAGTGACTTATGACCATTTTTCACACAACTATTGCAGCATCCCCATAGTCACATGATCAAAACTCAGATGCTTGGCAATTGACTCTTATTTCTGACCATTGTTGTGTCCCAGGGTCATGTGATCACCTTTTGCAATCTTCTGTCCAGCAAACTCAATGGGGAAGCCAGATTAACTTAACCATGTTACTAACTTAACTGCTGTGATTTACTTAACAACTGTGGCAAGAAAGGTTTTAAAATGAGGCAAAATTCATTTAACAACTGCCTTGCTTAGCAACACAAATGTTGGTCTCAATTGTGGTTGTAAGTCGAGGAGTACCGTCCTATACTTTATTCAAAGGTACTCCATACCCCATCCTTGCAGTCATTCAGCATCCTGTGCCCCCTTAGCTTTTTCAGTCCTCTTTGGATGTTTTTGTTTAGGGGTGAGGAATAAAATATTTTGTAACTTATACAAATCTGTTCACATCCTCATTCTTTCTTAAGAGCTGTTGGTTGTATAAAGAATAGCACTCAAGGGAGCTTCTGTTTTATTTCATAGCATAAAGGGTCTCCTGCTCGAGTAGGGGGTATCTTAACCCCCCTATGAGCCTATATCTATGCATTGGCACATATCAGTAACCTAACTTATTTATAATTAATTAGCTTACCTACCTATTTCTACTTTCCTGAGAATGATCAGGCTTTGATCTGCCTGTTCAGCCCTATATTTTATCAAGATGAAAGTATCAGCACAATATTAACAAGTTACCTGGATATTAAAGAGCTGATATCCAGTGTATCTGGAAGGCACAAAGTTGCTGGAAGCTAAGTTAGTATGATAAATCTTTGTTCCTAGCTGGTCCCAAACAAGTCCAGACTTTCCAGGTCTGACTGCAGCACATGTTGACAACATGTTCTTAAGTGTACCAAAGCTACCAGTATTAACTTGCTACTAACATTGGACTTCTCACTGACTTTTTCTTACTTTACAGTGACACAATTTTCTAATCCTGTACCACTTCTCAGTTCTAAATGGAATATATAGAACTGTGGCAATACTCTCTCTTATTACCATTATATTTCTTCCCAACTCCTGCAAAAACTTCTTAATTAACCAAACAAAAGTTCATACAACCACTATACATGTTGTATAATGAAAACTAAGTAAAGCTTGTATAGAGAAAACTATTGCTTGAAAGATGCAGCTTATTCTGTTCTTTTGTCTTTCAGGCACTGAAACATGAGTATTTTAATAATCGACCAGCACCAACACCTGGAAGTCAGTTGCCAAGACCCAACTGTCCTGCAGAAGCTTTGAAAGAGCAACAAAATCCCGTTTCTAATTTAAAAAGGAAAAGGATGGATGGAAAAGATCAAGGTAAAATTATGATCAGTTGTTTCTTAGATTTTGTTTTAATTAATATAATTTATATTGTGCTTTTTCTCCCAGAAATTAATGGTTTTTATATGGAGATCTTATTAAATTTTATTTCTATAAGAGCCCTGTGGGTTGTGCTAAGAGGGGTGACTGGCCCAAAGTCAGGGACTGGGTCTCCGTGTCTGAACTTAAACCTGAAACCTCTCAGTACTAGTCAGATGCCTTAACTGCTATATCCAGGGGAGTTTATGAAAGTCATAATTGCAGCTTATTTTTTTATGTATGCTCCATGCCTTGGTAAGGCCACACTTGGAATACTGCATCCAGTTTTGGTCACCACGATGTAAAAAAGATGTTGAGACTCTAGAAAGAGTACAGAGAAGAGCAACAAAGATGATTAGAGGACTGGAGGCTAAAACATATAAGGAACGGTTGCTAGAATTGGGTAGGTCTAGTTTAACGAAGAGAAGGACAAGGGGGGACATGATAGCAGTATTCCAATACCTCAGGGGCTGCCATAAAGAAGAGGGAATTAAGCTATTTTCCAAAGCACCTGAAGGCAGGACAAGAAGCAACGGTGGAAACTAATCAAGGAGAGAAGCAACCTAGAACTAAGGAGAAACTTCCTGACAGTGAGAACAATTAATCAGTGGAACAGCTTGCCTCCAGAAGCAGTAAATGCTCCAACACTGGAAGTTTTCAAGAAGAGACTGGACAGCCATTTGTCCTAAATGGTGTAGGGTTTCCTGCCCGAGCAGGGGGTTGGACTAGATGACCTCCAAGGTCCCTTCCAACTTTACTACTACTATTATTATTATTATTATATTCCATAAATAGGGACAGAGCTTTGATCACACAGTCATCTTTACTTTTCATACACACGTATAAATATGCACAAAGGAGTATTTGACTACATCATTCTAATGTTTAAAATAAACATATATTGCATTTTGCTCAAAGTAAGGGAGGAGAAAGTGGGTTTGTCATTCCAGGTTTAATAGTTTAATTAGTGTTGTCATTATTTAAAATGTTTTATTTAAATATTTCTAGACTGCCTTTTAGCAGAAAAACCTAAAAGACTTAGTTTGATTTGTATGAGATTATATTAGACAAATTTAGCCATGCTCTGCTTGAATGTGATTCAGTTTTGATGAGTTATGTTTCACAAATGGAAAAAATCCAGATAACAGTCCTAAAACTGGAAACTATTTACTGGAATTATTCAAACAGCTTATGAATTTTATCACTTTGAAGCAACCTATCTTAAATTTCACGAGGGTACAGATATAAAGCAAGAGAGTATTTGCATTTGTTGAATATAGTTTTTTATTTAAAGATCAGAAGAGAAATTCTTCATCCTCACAGTTCCCACATTTAGATTGGAAATGGATAGTAAAACCTGTATTTTATATATTCCTAGCAACACATAAATATAATAAAATTTTGAGAAAGATCAGGACATAGTAATTTGCTAAACTGATATGCAAAAATTTGTTATGTGTATATTTTCCATCCAGGGTTACCCAAAAAACTGGTTTTTTGACAGCTATGGAAATGAGGATCTTGAACATTTCTGCTGCTATGATATCTGAAAAGACCAAACGTGAGAACTGGGAGATGTTAATTAAAAATGAGTGAAAGCTGTGTTTGTAAATGTTTGTAATATGTATGTAGTATTTCAATACATAATAACCATGTATTTTATTGGCTTTTTTTTTAAAAAAAGAAAAGAAAAGAAAAAGAAAAATACAAAAAATGATTTGGTGAGTAAAATATTTTAAGTGTGAATACATGAACAGTCAGCTGAATGAACTGGAAAATTATAAATTGCAAATGCAAAGATTAGAAATGAAACTTTTTTTTCCAAATATCCTTGTTAGGCAGAGAGAAGGCCAAAATATTTTTGTTCTGAAAATATGCTTCAGTATATAGGATAAAGCTGCTTGCTCCTTGAGAAACCAGATTACCAAGCAGAAACTCAGATACTTTGAAGACATAATGTTGAGCAGATGTTGAATTAAAAAGTATGTTGGATTAAAAAATGGATTGAAATAAAGACATATAACAATGGATAATATAGATGAACTAAATCAGAGAGATTACTGGAATGTCCCTGGAAAAAAACTGTGGATTTATTTATTCCATAATAATTTTTATGTTTCCCATTCAAGACAAAGAACAAAAACTCTTATAGTTGCAATAGGCGCATATCTCATTTTGGGTCACTGGGTCTTCAAGCATTCTTAAAAGCCAGCAGATTCAGGAATTTACAATGGGGGGGAGGGTCAGGTTCTGTGGGAAAAAGAGCATGGTAACTGGAGGTAGATGGTTCCACAAACATCCTGAAGTTATTAATGATGTTAGGTGAGGATACTTAGGTGGACTAACTGCAGCTTCTGAGTAATTTGCAAAGGCTGTCCCAGGTAGAGTACAATGCAGTAGTATAGGTGAGAAGTAAGACATGAGTGATTGAATAGCAATCCCAAATTCAGGAATGTGAAAAGTTGGGACATAACTTCTGATCACCTTTTGCAACTTTCTGACAAGCAATGTCAATGGGGAAGCCAGATTCACTTAACAACAGTGATACTAACTTAACTGCAATGATTTTCTTAGCAACTGTGGCAAGAAGGGTCATAAAATGGGTCAAAACTCAATTGGCTCATTTAGCAACAGAAAGTTGGGACTCAGTTGTGGTTGTAAGTCAAGGAATATCTGCATTACTTCTGAAAATCCTTGCATTTATTTTTAACTCATTCTAATAATATGAAATTCTAATATTATTCTAATATTTCTATTATTCTATCATCTATTTCAGTGGTTCTCAACCTGTGGATCAGGACCCCATTTGGGGTCAAATGACCATTTCATGGGGGTCGCCAAACAACGCAGTCCACCATTTTTTCCCCTTTTCCTTACCTGTGCTACTCCCTTTTATTCTATTGGCTTTTGAAAGCCAATAGAATAGACTCTCTTGAATAGAGTCTAATTCTATTGGCTTTCAAAAGCCAATAGGAATTGTCCAGCTGTCTCTGCCCTGCTGAGCCCGCCAAAAGTCCCATTCTGCAAACGGTGCTGCACCAGTTGAGTAGTCCTCGACTTACGACCGGTTGGGGGTCGCGGCATTAGAAAGGTTGAGAACCACTGATCTATTTCCTTACTTGCTGTCTAGTCTGAGCTGAACACTAGTTTCCTCTCTAACAGGATCTTTCAAATGCTTCTGCTACATTTCTTAAGTCTATAAAACGCTTTTATAGTTACTCTTTAGACAGAGCATTCTTTTTCAAACTTGGTAACTAGACTAGTTGGGAAATTCTGGGAGAATTCTTAAAAGTTGCCAAGTTTGAAAAACACTGCGTTAGAGCAGAGGTCCCCAACTTTTTGGGCACCAGGGACCAGTTTGTTGGAGAGAGGTTTTTCCACAGACTGGAGGGTGCATGGTTTTGTGTGCTGCCTGCATCTCACAGATGGGACTTTGCTTATTTCTGCGGACCGATTGCTGGCATGCCGCAGCCCGGTACTGGTCCACGGACCGGGGGTTGGGGACCCCTGCTTTAGAGTAACAAACTATAGAGTTACCATGTCTTCAGTGTGTTCCTGCCTTCTCTCAAAGTGCTGAATGATTATGTTCCACAATTTCATGTACTTTTTGAACAGCGTATAGGAAAACAGAACATTGTGGGCTTCCATAGCCAACAACTGAGGTGTCAAACAGGATAAGTTCATATTCTGAGTGAGTTCCAATAAGAAGAACCAATAACACTGCCAAATATTTATTGCTCCTAAAGCCTAATCTCACGAAGGCAATGTTCTAGTACAGTGTTTTTCGATCTTAACAATTTTAACATCTGTAGACTTCAATTCCCAGAACATGTGGACTTCAACTCCTAAAATTGCAAAGATCGAGAAACACTGCTCTAGGCACAGATTCTGAAAGCTGTTGAGATCCAGGAATATAAGAATATCAGGTCTTATAATCAATGCCTTATAATGCTCAGAATTCCCTTTGTATCTTTTATCATTCACAGAATTTTCATTTTTCTAAAACTAGACTGACATTTTCACATCCACTTTGATACGATGTTTTTTTTTTTTTTTAATTTAGTCATTAAGATGAGAACCAACAGAATTGCACCACCAAACACTGGACAGCGAAAAGAAGGAAAATTGGTACTGTATTGTAGCTGAATCTTTGCATTGTAGCTACCTCTTTGTCAACGGGTTTAAAAAAATGACATGCTTATTACATCGTAAAGTATGAGCAGAATACACAATACATGCAAAAACATTATAAAACGTACGTAAAAGCAACTGCAAAGAGATAGGCTCTGTAAAAAGATGGGGAAGCACCCACGCTGCTTGAACAATTGAAAAGCTCTGAATCTTTTCTTGCCAAAATTTTTTTTAAAAATGGACCGCGACAACCGAGCTCCAGTCTCATCCAGCAGAAAGGCGCTTTCAGATGCAAAATAAAATGCAAGGAGTAAGCGAGTCGCCTTAATAGCGGAGTCCACTAGGCATTTTCTCCCTGAAAACGACTGCTGCCCTGACCTCACGAGTTACCCTTCTTCAGAGCGCTAACCGCGGCAGACGCTTCTCTTCCTTCTCGTAAACAAGCGCGGTCGTCCGTCTCCAACTCCTCCTTCTCCCCCCTTCTCTCCCGGGAAGCCCAAGCCGCCTGGCTTCGCGCCTGCGCTTCATCTTCGAGCCCACCAGGGTCCCTGGGCGTGTGAACGCGGACAGGTGGCCTACTGCTGGGTTTACCCGATCCTCTTCCTTCTCCCTCTCTGCTAACACAGCCCCCGCACCGGAAAGCCATCTAGCTCCTTAGAGGCGAGCTGACGACAGCGGAAGCCTAATCCCACTGTTTGGGCTGGGCTGGAGCTAGCTGTCTCTCCGCCCTGAGGGTTGCACCCAAGAGGTGGGTCAGTCTCTGGACAGCTGGGCGCCGGGGCCACACCGCAGCAGGCTGCGCTCGGCGTTTTCTGCGCCGGAGGGGACCCCGCAGCTGTCCGCCGACTTGCCGGGAGAGGCCACCGGGCGCCTGAAGAGTGCGGGCAGGTGCGGGGAGAGAGCGTCACGCGGCGGCGACCATGTCTGCGCGCTGCTGCGCCGGCCAGGTAAGGCGCGCGCGAACGCAGACCGCGGGATTTCTGTCCCGGGTAGGGAGCGTTGCTAAACGGCTCCACCCTAGCTTCGTGGCAGGCAAGTGTCCGTGGGGGCTGCGCCAGCGCTTCTTTTCGCTGGACAATGCCGTTCAAGCCGCGCCTTCGCGTTGGGCAGGAGATGCGCTGGCAGTTGCGCTTCTCCGGCAGAAGCCTAGCTCCTGACCAGATCCTTCAGCCATTTAGGCGATCCTGGGCTCGAATTAGGATCTAGCTGAGCGCTTCATCTGATTTCCCAGCTGCAAATTGCTTTCTCTGTCGGTTGAATGGGCGTCGGGAATCGCTTGCCGTTTTCACAGCTTTGCTTTAGTTGTTTAACCGGAAATCAGGGCCAATCTGATGATTGCAGACTTGGATTAAGATACTGCTTTGTTTTTCTCTGGGTCAGTTTGCTATATCTTTTATAAAGTCCTGCTTTATTACCGGGGGCTGTCAAAGGAATTTAGCAAAACAATAAAAAAGACTCACTAAAGAAGACGCTGCTAACATATGTATGTTTTGATAAAATAATAATTATATTATTTAGTTACAGTCATGTCCACGGTTGTCATCATGCAACCCAATCCCAATTTAAGTTGGTTAGAATTTGTCTAAATAAAGTGGTATGCATTTTTATAACGTTTATGTCTGTATTTGTTTATCCTAAGAAAATTAATGTTTCTACTGTGTGGTGGAGTTTATAACTTTCTGAGCTATGATTTAATGAATAAAGCATAGTTGCTTTAAATAAAGCATGAATAAAATTATTAGTGCAGCATGTGAACTAGGTTACTATAATAACTTGATGAAGGAAATCATATATAAATGTGCTGCCTCCAAACTTTCCCTTGTACTGTTAAAAATGTATACCCTCTTCCAAACAAGCATTGAACAAGAAAACTGATGGTTTTCAGTTAGGAACAGCAGATCTCTAGAAAAAAAAAAGATGCACATACTTTCTATGCAATAATTAACATGGAGTTGTTCTGGAAATGAAGGAAATTGACCCCTTCCTCCTATATAATTTTGCATTCTGCCTGCAGAATAAGAAACAAGAGTTGGGATTCTAAATTCTAGATCCAATTCTACCTATTTTCATAAGTCATAACATAAAGGAATGTATAAGTGTTCTCTAACTGTGCATGTGAAATATGTTAATATATGAAAGAGTGGTTGAAATTTGATAGCATCTTAACTCACAACTGGTGACCATGTGTGGTAACAGTTTCTATAGAATTTGGAGTCCAGTTGACAATCTAGCCGTGTGCATTTTTTTACCTTGTATATTTCATATCCAGTGAGTGTCTACTGAAGTTTTAACCCTATGAATAGATTTCTTATTTCTTTTTTGGTAATACAGTAATTTTATTAAAGATTATACCATAGTTACAACAGTAAAAATTAATATGAACTTTAAAAAATAGAATAAAAGGTGCAGAAATATAAAGAAAAAATAAGAAAAAATTAAGAATATAGTGAAGTAAAAGTCATATATACATAAGTTATTTCTCACTATGACAACTATAAACAATTTTACTAATGCATCACCTCTTCTTAAATGCAACAAATAATCTCTTCTTCCTCTATCCCATCTTTTATCTATGCCAATTCAAAAAACATGTCATTTCAGTCCTGGTGTCAGCAAAAGTCCTTTAGAGTCATCAGAAATAACATTTTAACCTTGGTCAAATAAACTATATTCATTCCTTTTAATTCTTCTAATCTTAATCTTTAGTCCATTTAAATGTCATAAAACCTAAAATTTTTTCATTTTTTTCTGTCCCTTCCCATGAGATTCTTTCAAACTTTAACAAGCCTCTTATAAATCCAAAATTATCCATCTCACTCTCTTAGTTTACTGTTTATATATCCCTTTTAATTATTAAGTAATCAACCAGTTTCTTTTTATGTTCACATCTTTTTCCATGGCATTCTTGTAGCATGTAATTTGTAAATCCAGTTTCAATTCAATCTCAATTTTTGTCAAGTAAACTTGTTCCTCTTCCAGAACATATTTTGGCACAGTTTCCCCATAGAGGCAGATGTCTCTGTTGAGACTATTAAAATTAATATTTTAGTCCATTAATCAAAAATATCCTGTTTCTGTAATTGTAAGTCATTACAAATTTTTGTAGTTTCTGTTCTCTTTTAATTGTAATCTTTAGTTCTCTATAGTGTCCAGTTTTCAAAATCTTGCGTTTATTTAAAAAACTCAAAAGAATTTTCCCATGGGAAGGATTCTTTATAATTAATTCCAAAATCTTATTTCAAATCTATCTGTACTCTTAGTCTGTTTGTAACTGTCTAAAATTAAAGTTTTAATCATTTTGATGTGTCTCTTCAAGGTGCTTTTCCAAAAGGCAACTGGACTTTCTTGTTCAGTGGTTTTTATTTTATTTACTTATTTATTTATTTGGATGAGAAGCAAAATGTTTTCAAATGAAAAAACAAACAAGAAAGTACAATTGTCTTTTAGAAAAGCACCTTTGGACCAACCATGAACTGGATGACTGACAATCTCCATAGAAATTCTTTTTAAAAAGTTCTTGCAGTTAAAATTCATTTCACTGAAGATTGAAGGAACTTACCTGGTGCTGTCAAACTTGTCCTAATAGCTGAAAAGCATCTAACAAGCAATAAATGGTTAGTAAAAATGATAGTGATCTTGTAAAAGTAATTAGAAAATTACTAATTACTTGTGTAAATTTAGTGGTCTTTCAAAGGTATAGATGGCTGTTCCATGTCTCCCAAAGTTCTAATTCACCAGAGACCACTGTTTTGCAATTTCATGAAGAGCAACTGTCTGGTGCACTTGTGGGTGATCTCAAGTCTGTCCTTGTCTGAACAGAAATTGCAAAGAGCTGATCCACATGTGGGCTTTTCATTCTGCTATGGTTGTCAGTGCTGCATTTCAGAGCCATCTTTAGTCTGTCATTTCTTAATCTGGAAGTCCCCCAATCAACATTTTCTTACATTCCACAGAAATATTTTTGCACATCTTTAAAACCATTTACAACAGAATGAAAAGCTAACAAAAAGCAGGAACCATGTAAAATTAGGGTGACTGCGTGTTTTGTAAGATAAAACTTTTGATCAAACATCTCTGTCATGACAGACAGTTTTTGTTAGTACTCAGGATAAATAAACTGCTAAGGCAAGCATCCCTCTTAGTGACTTCATGGATACACACATATAGCTTTTAAGGCAGTAGTATCAAAATGGTTGCCATTGGCTTCTTCCCAGTTTTTTAAAAACTTCACACTCTAGCCCAGGGGTGTCAAACTGCCGGCCTATGGGCCGGAAGCATCACACAGAAGCCGTGCCCACCCCATTGCTGGCAATAGTAAAACTGTCCCGATACGTTGCGCAACATCATGTGACGTCGCGGGTTTGACATGTCTGGTCTAGCCTATAGAGCAGCGATTCCCAACCTTTTCTATACCCCGCGCCTCTAGAACGCTTCTGATATATTCTCGTACCCCTTACAAAAGTTCGAAATAACAGCAACGAATTATGCATATACACTATAATTTTGAAACTTCTAAACCCAATTTTTTGCATCTCCTGGAATATCATCTCACACCCCCAGGGGGTGCAAGTACCCCCGGTTGGGAGCCCCTGCTACAGAACCATGATTTCCTTGTGGTCTCCCATTCAAATACTCCCCAGGTTCAACTCTTTTCATTTTGAGTCAGCTACTTTATGCTAGTTGGATTGTGAGCTGTATTTAGTGATGAAGCTGACAACTGTTTTGTGACTATCATACTGCCACTTGCTGACAAAAATAACAAATACATTATTTTTCTACCATATGATGACAGAGAACAATTTATAGCTAGCTCATCTTTTTGGCTACACACACTGAGCTAAGCTTGGTTTGTTTACCAAACATTCATGAATAACCCAGTATTGGATTCAGCCATTGTGCTAAATCAGACAAACCATAATGTGGTTTTAGGTGTTATTTTCAGTGACAGAGATCACATGTCTGCTGTCCAGTTGGAGTGAACTGAATTCCTAGATTAAGAAAGAAATATTTTTTCCTCCTTTGAAAGAGAAATAACTGCCCTATTACTTGCACAGCGGTGATTTGTTTTTGCTTATATTTCACAGGAAACAGGATTTTATATGTGGCTTTTCTATAGAGCGTCTCTTGAGACTAGAAGTTGACCTCTGTCTTAAATAAAGCAGCTGCAGTGGAAAACTTTAGTTAATTTTTTTCAGGATTCATTGTATATACATGTAATGTAGACACAAGGTTGGCTATGTGACTATACTTTTATTTACATTGCACCTTGATATACATATTTTTAAACTATAAGCTTGCTAGCTTTGAGGTCCTATTTAATTAGTAAGAAATTAGAATTAACACTTTCTGATAAAATTAAGGGCCATTTTTTTAGCAGAAACTTGCAGAGGAAAATTTCTGTGGTGAGTTTTAGTCAGGAAATTTTATTATAAATTTATATTACATGAAGAGAAATAGTTCAGTTTCTTTTTTTAGTTCTGAACATGCCACATAATTTTTAAGAAATATTCTTGCAAAAGCAAATAAAATTTATTGTCCTCTCCATTTTTGTGGTTTTCTATGTTCTATAGTTCATAGCATTGTTTATACTCTTAAATTAACTACTCTATAGTTTTCTCCAATCTTGACCAAAACAAAAAAATCTCCCCCAAGTTAAGCATTCCAAAAGTACTGGCACCACAAGTTTTAGAATTCCATGGCATCATGAGAATTGACTAAATTGGAGAAATACTAGGTTGAAGAAGAATGGCTTAAAGGCAGAGTGTCAATCTGTAGTATTAAGAAGTTAGCCAACTAAAAGTTTAGACAGATGTTAGTACTCAAAATATGTAGTGCTCCTATCTTAATAAATTGTAGTTAAATATTTTAGGGCTTGCTGCTGTTTGACAAGAAAATGGGTTCTGGATAGTATAGACTGGCTGTTGTTTAAAAGTTTGTATATATTGTT